TGCTTCCAATTGTTTGTTCCCATAGTTGCTATCAAATCCGTTGATGTCGCTCTTGACAACAGCTCATGGACTTTGATCGAAAGTATGGACAACCACAGCCAAGGAGACCTCTCAGGGATGTGCTGGTTAGTTCAGGCATGGGATCACTGGACATGAAGTTCAATCGAATCTCTTTGATGATCTTGCTTGCATCGACAACATACATGGAAACATTCTCCCCAGGGAACTTGGTGATGTCCAAGTGAAGTAGCTTGGCTTTGAGGGTTTCAATCTTACTGAGAGAAGGTCTGTATATTTTCTGCAGAAGAGCCAAGAGAAGTTGGGGCCCATTGTGTTTGGCTCGAGGAACATATGATTTGAGTTCTCCTGGAGAGCATCAGTGCAAGAATTTAGAACAGCCTTCCTACCAGGCAAGTTTGTAATCATACTGGCAACAGGATGTTGCTTCAGATTCCAGCATCATGAGTCCGACCCCACTGACTGTGAGGTCTGATGCATTCCATCATAGACTCTGAGACTGTCCAGGAGCAGGAACATGTTATTTTATTATAGTGTTGTATTAAGATCCACAACAAGCTGGAAGACCCCTTCCATTCCATGTTCAGTCATCATACTTTCAAAGGCGATGAGAGAGGCTAAACATGGGACCCAGAGGCATTTGACTCAGTCAAAGTCGAGAATAGGAGACTGGGGAATCCTTAGGCCTTTCTTGCATCCAATTCAATTGGCTGGAGGTGGTGTGGTGTTTCAGATGTCGTCTCCATGGAGCCCCTAGGCAAAGGGTGCTCTGAGGTTCCTTTCCACCATCTGAGCCAGATCCTGTCCAGGCTCCAGTGTGGTTGATACCTCCAAGCCGAGGGGCTACTGTAAGCTTGGTCTTTGCCTTGGAATTTCCAATGTGCTGGAGAGTTCTTGGAACTGAGCTGAGGACAAGGCTGCTGCTGTAGTCATGGTTGGGTCTGATGGTGCCTCTATGGGATCTGGTTCAAAGAAAGCTTGGACATTCCTCAGGACTGAAGATGGCGCTGGTGCTGGTATGTTGAAGGAGTTGAAGTGATGATGCTGAATCAGAGGAAGCGTCGTCAAGGTCCATCAATAGCTGATGGAATGGGAGGCAGGAAAAATCAACAAGGTCAAAAACGGCAACAGCCCACAGCAGTGCATGGCAACAAGAGGAGGAGCGGCGACGCGGTGGATGGCACAAGAGGAGGACGCGAAGGACCATCAATCGAGTCAATCGAAGCTGGAATTTAGAGGAGAGGATGTGCCAAGTTCGAGGACCACGACATCGGATCCAACGACCTCGGAGTTGTTCGTGTCCTTCGAGTTTGAATTCAAAAACCAACTGCAAGCCAGTTCAATGCCACAGAGACGTCGTTGCGAGAGACGTTGACATCGCGAGCGATCGATCGCTTCGTGCAATACGCCGCTCCGTACGATCCGTACGCTCAGTACAAGAGGAATTAGAATCCTTCGAGTATAAACGACAAAATGCTGCAAGCCAGTTCAACGACCAGCTGCAAGCCAGTTCTTGAAACGACCAATGCCGGTCCTGGGTAAGTCTCCAACAACAACGACAACAACAACATCACGGAGCGATCGATCGCTCGTGTTGGCATCATAGTGTACTCCGTCGAGTTAATGAAAAAGTGAGGATTTTCGAAGAAGATATAAACAAGCATGAATCAGGCCATTCAAACCGATAATACGGGAATAAAGCATGACTCAATGCAACACACACGCCGACCCTTATATTTGCAGTGAAGCCTCATCTTTCGAAGATTTTTGTTAACTCTGTTAACTGGATCGGCCGATCGCGACGGAGAGATGAGGAACGCGGTAGAGATAACAGTAGTGGCCTAGCAATAACAATAGCATCAGTAGCCGTAGCAGTAGCAACAGTACAGTAGTGACTGCTGCAATGATCGGTTGATAATCGAAGATGGAATCATGTAAGAGTGGTCCACCTATTATACGTATAGGATCCTCATCGCGATTTCGATCGACGACAGGATAGAAGGTGGACTCATGTAGGAGTCCATGGTTGCGATTGCTTACGAGCGAATCAACAACAACAAAGGGATTGACAAGGGGTTGCTTTCGAGCAAATCAGGGGATCGACAAGGGATTGCTTGCGAGCGAATCCAGTCGAGTAAAAGAAGAGGGGTTATTACCATTGATGCTGATAATACAAAGGATGACATATAAGAATAAGAATGAGTAACATTCATAACCTCGCATGCTACCATGCGACAATACCATTGTGCATTGATTAATCTAAGGATCTAAGAGATGTAAAGTTTGTATTTCCAAATAAGTGAGCAGTTATTGATTATTTTCTAGAATAAGCCTGCCAATTGTAAAGCTGTAAAGCTGAATTGTAAGCTGTATCCCGTCGCAAGCCAACTACCTTCCCATCGGCAACTTGAAGACGATTGGAGCCACCAAGAAAACAGAAGAACTTCTTCGTGCTGCCAAGAAACATTCTGAGAGTGTTACGGAATTGCAGAAAAACTGGGCCATGATGTCTACACGGCCCGTCAAACTGAACTCTCCTCTGTCATGCGCAACAAGCACTTCAAGCATGAGCGCATGAAGGTCCTGCAAGAACAAGCCATGGCCAAGATCAAACAAGAACAAGAAGGAAAACAAGAAGCAAAAGGATGTGGTGTGGTGCGAACTGCAAACATGATGGATCTTACTTTATATTCCTTATGAGGAAGGACAAGCACATGATCCCTCTCAAGGAGGAGCTCTTGTTCCGCGGCTTCAAGGAAGAGGACATTGATGGGTGGAAGGTCAGGGAGCGCACCAAGAAGTCAAAGAGCATGAATTGGAGAGAGTGGAAGAACTCAAAGCAACATGTCTGCTGCTCAAACTGGCTTCAAGATCCTTTCTGGTGCCATTTTCGACAATGTCTAAGCAGGATCCCCTTTGCATATGGGTAAGTGAAGGCATCCTTGGTCCAACAGCAACAAACGCATCACCAACACTCACGAACTTGTTTTTGCTCATGGTCGGCACAAACTGTGTCAATATTTCTGATTTTCAAACTGGCTGCCATGTCCTCTCTGTTGCCATTTACCTCAATGTCTCACCAGGGTCACTCCGGCATACACTTTGTGGTCTCTTTTGGCTTGGTTCTCTATGGCGAGGAGGCTTCCAATGTGTCCCAACAGGCAAAAGTCCGCTTTTGGGTGACACATGTGCTGCGCCACAACAGGCCAAAAATGGATTTTCACTTCTTCCTATTGCATATTCACTAAAACAAACCAGGTGCGCATGACCGCGACCATGGTGCGGAGTTACAAATACATGGTGGTCCTTATCAGTTTTAACACTCTACATAGCCACTTCGCCATATTCTGTTGCTTTGTCATGGTCGGTCTTTTTTTGTTGTCGGAATGGCGGCAGCCGTTGTTTTTCTGACATCCAGAAGTTTGTACCAGGCCTACGCGCGACGCGCCTAGAACGATCGTCACCCAGTGAAAATTGATGCAATCACGGGACTGTGGGGGTCCTAGAGTCCCTGTTGGAGATTGTACATGTAGAATCGAATCTAGACATTACTAGCTAGCTAGTAGACAGGGCTAGCTAGCTAGCGCCCGAAGAACCCCTTTCTAAAAGCTACAGTACAGTTAACGCTCGCTTATATTTATAATCTTATATTTATTCGCTCTATAATATTTATTATATCTCGAGTTCCCCCCCCCAGTCACGAGTGACCGTGAATCAATGTTGACCTTGGATCCAATTCAATCCCTATGAAGGACAAGGTAATGAGCAAAGAGGATTCTGATGACTTGTGTAACCTCATGAGTGCTCTCCAAGTCAAGGCTCAAGAAACTCAGGTCGATGTGGCCAGGCACGCCATTGCATTGCAAGGATCGTTCGCTGCTGATTTCGACAGGTACTCTAGGGAGGATGTGCTGCAGATGCGGGAGAATTGGATTGAAATTGAAGATGAGCCTGAAGTCATCAGTGCAACCATCGACGAGGAGATAGAAGAGCTGGAAACGACAACAACCGAAGCCGAACTGGCTGTCCTTGATGATGAGGAGCCTGAACCGATGGACGTTGACCCGGAACCTGCTGATGTGTTTGCCTCATTTGCCGAAGCTGAAGAGGCGCTCAATAAGCTGTCCGAAAGTGCCTCCAGCTTGGGTATCAACCAAGCTGCTACTGTGCATCTTGATAGGTTTGCCAGAGCCTTGAATATGGCCAGGGCGACAAGGGCTGGCAAACGCAAACGTGATGGCACTCTCCACTCGTTCTTTACTAGTGGTTAGTAGCAGTAACGCTCTATATTTAGACACACTGTTATATTTACTGGATTCCTGAATCCCCCCCTGTATATATATCTGAATGTTGACAGTACAGTCGTACTTGAGAATCATTTATTTAGGTTTAGACAAGCTATGTGTGGTTACGTACCGAGAGTAGCAAGCTAGAAAGCACGATGCCGCATGGTGCCCTCAAGCAACAGACGGAGTGGTGCAGGAAGAAGATTGTCATTGGGATGCAGTGGCACGGAGGTGTAGCCTCGACACGACTTCCTCTCTCTCAATTGGTGTTGTCATCGTACTACCGTAGTACGTACGGTACGAGCACCAGGCTTGGGCTTGTCGTCAAGAATGATCATTGAATCGAGTTGCCAGCCACATCCCCTGACGCGGGCTGGTCAAGAACAGCCAAACCAAAACAGGTCAAAACCAAAACGGTTCAAATTTATCCTGGGGGAGCTCGCTGCGTTGGCATTTCCTGGTACCTGGTACATGTAATCGCAAGTCGAAGGCAGCCGTCGCTGTTCCCCAGTATGGATCGTGTTCTGGTACTAGCTAGTAGCTATGCCTTGCTAAATAAATGTATTCTATTTGAACATCTTAATTTTTTTATAAATAAGTTAATAAAATGAGTGAACTGCAATGAACGGTATAGGTACCGGTAGTAAGAGATAGAGATACACAGTGTAGATCTTATTTGTTTTGGTTAGTTATTAGTTAGTAAACTAGGCTGTAGGTTTTGATTTGCGATCCAGCTACAAATGATGTGGAGGATCGTCTCCTAGTGCAAGCAGCAAGTTTCGGTTTCTGTCCGGTCAGAGTGCGGAGACTGATTGAAATGTCAATGTCAACGTCAACGTTATCGACATCGACAGCAGTGTTGTTGTCGTCGTCGTTGTCGTCGGTATTACCATTTAGTGCATGGCATTGTGCTTGTACAGGTTCCTTTCCTTTGGGGAAGATGACCTTGAGAACCACGGGAGGTGCACATGCACGTTTTGGGCATGCAGCAGCATAGTAACTGTTGTGCAGACTTCTCTTGGGGGTATTGTTTGCCAACCAGTTCATCTTGGAACGTCGTTCGCCTTCTTTGCTCCTGCTGTGTCCGCTGCCATGGTTGAAATTGACAGCCTGAGTAGATCTATTAATAGTGCTTCTAGACCACGTCCAGGTAGTACCGGTAGTACCCGTACCAGTGTGCATAGTGCCAAAGGTGGAAATGCTGTCTTGAAGCTTACCTGAAGCTACCGGTTCTGGTATGCTGCTATTAATACAGGTACCAGTACCAGTGCCAGTTCCAGTACATGTAGTACTAGTACCCATGCTACCTCTTCGTCGTGACGGTCGGGTACTACCGGTAAAGGTACTAGCATGCGTACCGCTAGTGGTTGTTGCAGCACGTCGTGAGCTGTAGTCAACTAGCTTCTTGTATCCATGTACATGTTCTCGGGGAGTGCTGGTGCTGGTGCTGGTGCTGGGGTCGGCGCTTCCGTCATTGTCCTTCATCATTGGACTATTAATAGATCTATGCATACTAGTAGCTACCGGTAGTCAGTGCAGTAGTCTATTAATAGTGTCGGGTGTCGGGGAATTGTGAGCTCGTTTGTTGGAAGACTGTGCAGTTGCTCCGTTCGAAGATACCAATGATGAGCCAGTGAACGGATGCTCCACCTCGGTTTCCGCAAAGTCGGTTGCCATTGAGAATTTGTGTACAATCGTATCAGTCTCAACAGTAATACGGAACATTGCAAAATAGCTCAACGGGACTCGGGCATTGCACCCTTTTTAAATAAATGATAAACAGTTACTCAACAACAGCTCAACAACTACGTTACGCAACTTGAAGTAAAATGAAAGAAGCCGTTCGCAGTCTCCTGGGACTGGGATTACACATGCATCAGATTCTAGCTAGACATCTAGACTACTGAGTAGATCTACAGTACGTGTAGGATTTTGGATTTTGAGTCTTTTAGAAAAACGGACGTGAAGCTACAGTAGTACGTGATCAAACTGATTCGTTGATGACAAATTCCAAAGAAGCCTTCTTTAATCGAACCCTTTTTTTTTAAAATAAAGCAATCTAAAACTGACTTATCGGCTTTCTTGACCATCTGAACCTTTATTCACCCAAAGAACATTGCCAACTACTACTAGCTAGTAGTACGCAGTCTACATGTACTTTACTACTGTACTGTACAGAGCTAGCCACGCGTAGCTCCACTACCGGTACGTAGCTACCTAGTACCACCGCACATGTAGCTGCCAACTCCACCTTTTCTTCCTTCCCTCAGGGAAGTTCCTAACCACAGATTTTACCGTACGTATGTACGGGAAATGGAAATAATTCGAAATAACTGCCGAATTCGGAAAGGTGACCTCCAAATCCACAGATACGGCGAACCGCAGGAAATGTTTATAGTAAAAAAGTGGAGCTGCGGTTCGCAGGATGAATGGATTTGGAATTCGCGTAGGGCCAATCAAAACGCTCGAGTAAGCCGAGCTCTCGGACTCATTATCCCCCACGATTCCAGCCTGGCCTTTTCGAATAACAAAAGGATTCGATTCGATCGTCACCGCTAGCTACCAACAGACCAATCTCGACAACCAAGAAGGTTAACAAGCATCCTGAAGGTAGCCTACAAGTTAATACCATTGTATGCCTGTTAGCCTTCTTGTTTGTGGTGGTGGGTCTGTTGGTAGCTAGTAGCTTCGATCGAACGATGCATGTTTTCCCAGTAGTCCATTTGGATTCGATTCGATTCGATTGAAGCATTCGATTCAATTCATTGAATCGAATGAAACGCTGAAACGCTGTTCGCCTTCTGTGGCTCGCCCTACGACTCTTTTTTTGTTGGCGAATGACGTATCTGCGAATGGTTAAGAATGAAGCCACATACGCGATTAATAAATGAAAATAAATGTGGTTCTCATGTGGTTCTCATGTGGTTCTCTGTGTACGTACGAACCACATGATCGCGGATAGGAACTTACCTCATTGCTGCCCACGATTATGAGGTGAGAGTCCCGCCGCCCGGACCTTGATGTGCCGACAAATGGTGCCACCGTACACCATACGGTACGTACTACTGTACATGCAGCAAAGGCTCCCACGACAATGCGTGGTGCCCTACGAATCAAATCAAATGAATCCCAATGGGCTACCAGTACCAAGTACCTGGTACCAAGTGTTCACCCCACAACCGCTAGTACTAGCTAGCTAGCCACCGTACCGTTAGCTCGTACGGTACCAGCAGACAAAAATAAAGGAGGTTTAATAAATAAAATATGTAATGTAAACGCAAACGCAAGTGAAAGGCAACATTGTCCAAGAAAGCGGAGCTACCATTGGGCAGTACGCGCATCACTAATAGACACATGCACCACAGGAAATTCTCTCAATCGCAGACTCCACAAATATGTAACATGGCATTCCTGGTTCGCAACAGTTCGGACTGAAATCATCATAGTTGCTTGGTACATTGTTGCTGATATGGATCTTGTTGACAGTGGAGTTTCGCAGTACGCAGGCATCTTCATCACCAGTGGCCTGCCACTCAACCGAGCTTGACTTTGTTTCAGGGTCTCCATCACAGGAACCAACATCTATCTCGGCCGTTCCAACCTTGTACGCTTCTGACGCATCTGTGTACAGCGAGACATCAAATGTTCCAGGCCCCGTAGTTTCCATTAGGTAACCATTCATGTTGGGCTTGTTCATTTTCGTAACCGAAACAACGCCAGCAGGCAGATCTTCATCAAGGGAGGGGCGACCATAGATGAGAGTGCCATTGGAAGCACCAAGATCACATTCAGGACCCTTCAGAACAGATTGCCTTCGCAGTCCTCTCCTTGTTGGACAGCTAAAACAGAATTCTATATGGCTGATGGCACGTTCGCTTCCTGGTTCACCCCCTGTTGTGAGGTAGTAGGTTTGCCCTGCAGAAATATCATATATGCGGCCTCCGTTATTGCCTCCCTTGATAATTACTGTACCTGAAACGCTGGAGTAAAGGTCGACACCAAAAAATTCACCGGAATTTCCATCCTCGTTTTGACAATCAAACCTGTAAACACCCAAGCCTGTAGTGCTGCATCCAGGATAATCTGATAAATTAATCTCTGGAACAATGCTCAAATCAGTCTCAAACGAAGTGTCTGAGGTTCTATCAACACAACCAGGGTCTTCTTGTTTCCAACCAAAAGTATATCCAAAATCTGTGCACTTATCGCTCTGGCCAATCTGTGTTCCTGGCAAGTCAGCAGGTGGCAAAGCGGCCTCTGTTGGGGTTCCGGTAGGAGTCCCCGTTGGAGTACCTGTTGGTGTTCCAGTGGGAGTCCCGGTAGGAGTCCCGGTAGGAGTCCCGGTAGGAGTCCCGGTTGGTGTTCCAGTTGGAGTTCCTGTTGGAGTTCCAGTGGGTGTCCCTGTTGGGGTCCCCGTTGGGGTTCCTGTGGGTGTCCCCGTTGGGGTGCCTGTTGGAGTTCCGGTTGGAGTTCCAGTGGGAGTTCCGGTTGGGGTGCCTGTTGGAGTTCCAGTGGGAGTTCCGGTGGGGGTTCCTATTGGCGCCTGCGTTGGTCCTGGTGTGGGATTCGGTGAAGGTGCTGGTGTGGGATTCGGTGTTGGCGCTGGTGTTGGCTCAGGTGTTGGTGCTGGTGTTGGCTTGGGGGAAGGTGCCGGTGTGGGGTTGGGTGTAGGTCCCGGGGTCGGAGCAGCCGGGACCGTACAGAAAAAGCAGAACTCAACGTGCTCAATCAGTTCCCCATTACCAGGATTCAAGCCCTGGTACAAGTCTCCTTCCGTCAAGTTGTAGAGCATGCCGCCTTTACCTCCCTTCACAAACACTGCCACTTCAACAGAAGCTTCAATGTTGACATAAGCAAACTCCGTTCTTAAATCATTTGGGTCGACTGGTACCTGCCCATTGTGGCAAGTAGCCCTGAAGTTGCCGCGGTTCTGAAGCTGACAATTCACCATTCCAGGCAACACTGGGGTCATCATAAGTGAGGTGAAGTCGACTGGAGCCAGTAGAGGATCTGATGTCACACAGCCCGGGTTTTGCTGCTTATAGCCAAAGTGATAACCCATATTCTTGCAGTCAGGGTGTTCACTGATGGGTGTTGGACCTGGGGTTGGCGCTGATGTTGGTGTTGGAGTTGGAGCAAGAGTGGGGTTTGATGTTGGTTTGCTTGTTGGTGCTGCAGATGGAGCAGGAGTTGGTACTGGCGTTGGACCTGAAGTTGGTGTGGCTGTTGGTTTACCCGTGGGAACAGGAGTGGGATTTGCACTTCCCTCGTGCGTGGGTCCCGGAGTGGGCGATCCTGTGGGGCTGGCAGTGGCGGCCTCAACTGTTGGTCTTACACTAGGAACCGGCGTGGGGGCAAGTGTTGGGGTTGGGCTGGGTGCAGGAGTTGGCGACTGTGTTTTCGGCTGAGGTGATGTTCCCGTGGTTGGTCCAGGGGTTGGGCTGGCCGATGGGTGTTCTGTAGGGCCATCTGTAGGGCCAGGTGATGGCTCAGGGGTAGGGGAACTTGTTGGTGCAGGTGTTGGTGCAGGTGTTGGTGCAGGTGTTGGTCCGGGTGTGCCACTAGGTGCTGTGGGGTTTGAGTCGCCATCGCTGGATGGTTGAGGGGTTGGTCCTGGGGTGGGGCTCGTTGATGGGAATCCTGTGGGACCAGGTGTCGGGCCCGGGCTTGGCTCAAGTGTGGGGGACCCAGTTGTTTGAGCGGTGGGGTTTGGGGTTGCTTCAGATGAGGGTGATGGGCTGGGAACAGGAGTGGGAGCTGGCGTAGGGGAGCCAGTAGGACTTGGGGTCGGGGAATTGGTGGTATCAGGGCAGGAGAAACAGAACTCAATATGACTGATGGCATGATTGCTTCCTGTAGTAAGATAATAGGATTGACCAGCAAAAATTTCAAACAGGCGGCCACCATCAGGCCCTCCCTTGACAATAACGGCTCCAGTCACTGTCGAAGTCAGACGGACAGCACGATACTGAACAAAGTTGTCCTCGTCTACCCCATCCGGTTCCAGACACTGGAAGGTGTAGCTTCCAAGACCGTTTGTAGAGGCTCCACATCCTTGTGGAAGATTCCCCAGGCCAGGCACCAGCTCTAGCTTATTTTCAAAGAGATCACTTTCATCCACACAACCAGGGTTGTCCTGTTTCCAACCAAATTCATACTCTATGAAATCTTCACACTTGGAATCTTGGTCAATTGGAGTTCCAATTCTGGTTGGCTGAGGTGTTGTACCTGGTGTAGGACCTGCTGTTGGGCCAGGTGTTGGTTCGGGGGTTGGTGGTAGAGTGGCTGCAGCAGATGGAATTGGGGTTGGATAATTCGTTTTGGAACCTGTTGGCCCAGGAGTCGGAGTTGCTGTGCCAGCTGGTGTTGAGAATGTGTGTGTGTCTTCCACTCGGCAATCAAGTCCTGTTGATTGGGATGCTTCAGATACAACACTGGTGATGTACTCATTGTCAATGCAGAAGTTCACAGACACTACCTCAGTCTGAATCGATGACCCCCCTGGTGGAATCACAACTGGATCAAGATTAGGTAGTATGTCTACCACCTCACCATTGCGGTCACGCTCAAAGAATGTAACAGTGAGGGTGACCACACCAGTGTTGATAATCGTGTAGGTATATGTGACCTCAACTGAGCATGTTCCTTGAGGCTTTCCAAGCTGTTCCACTGGGACACCATTGGGGTCGACAGCTTGTATAGTGACCTGCGCATCACACGCTGTTGCTGTGACTTGAGGTGTTGGAGCTCCTGTTGGCGTCTGGGTAGGACTTGGTGTAGGCCCCTCGGTGGGGCTGCCAGTGGGATGGCGAGTGGGGCTTTGAGTTGGAACCTTTGTGGGGCTCCTTGTTGGGCCAGGTGTAGGGCCCTTAGTCGGACTGCCTGTGGGGCTTGGAGTAGGGCCTGGTGTGGGTGCTGAAGTTGGACTGTTTGTATTGCTAGCGGGCGGGACCACGGTGGCGGTTGGCCCAGGGGTCGGTCCTGGTGTTGGGTCAAAGGTTGGGCCCGGAGTATCTTCGTTCGTAGGTCCTGGTGTTGGCCCAGGTGTAGGTCCTGTTGTTATCTCGCTGGTTGGGCCTGGCGTTGGTGCAGAAGAAGGACTCACAGTGGGTCCCTGAGTTGGGTTTGGTGTCGGGCCAAAGGTGGGACCATGAGTTGGAGTGCCAGATGGACTTGGGGTGGGACCTGATGTTGGTCCAGGTGTTGGGGGGAGAGTAGTCCTCGATGAAGGAGAGGACGTGGGACCTGGAGTTGGGCTAGAGGTCGGGCCTGGTGATGGTCCCTGAGATGGAGGTGTAGTTGGAGAAAGTGTGGGACCAGGGGATGGTCCAGGTGTGGGAACTGGCGTTCCATGAGGTGTTGTTGGTCCCATTGTTGGACCGGGTGTGGGCCCCACAGTTGGTCCAGACGTTGGTCCCGGTGTTCCTTCAATAGTTGGGCCTGGTGTTGGACCAGGTGTTGGGCCCTGGCTTACTTCATAGGTGGTACCAGGAGTTGGGCCCGGCGAAGGGCCTGGTGTCGGACCTTGTGTTGGGTTTGGTGTTGGACCGCTTGTTGGCCCTGGAGTAGGAGTGCCAGATGGGCTGGATGTGGGTCCGGGAGTTGGCGCTCCTGATGGACTTGGTGTCGGGCCTGATGTTGGTCCTGAGGAAGGGCTAGGTGTCGGTCCAGGGGTAGGCCCTGGTGTGGTTCCTGGAGTTGGCCCAGAAGATGGCCCAGGAGTAGGACCAGGGGTTGGTGATCCACTAAGAGCAGTGGGTGCTGAAGTGGGACCCGGTGTCGGTCCCACTGTAGGACCTGGTGTTGGCCAGGATGGTCGGGGCCGGGATGCCGGGTGGCCTGTGTGGGACCAACAGTAGGGCCCTGAGTTGGCCCTGGTGTTGGCTCTGATGTTGGTCCCTGGGTAGGACCTTGTGTTGGCCCAGCTGTAGGACCTGGTGTTGGTCCAGGAGTAGGACCCGGTGTGGTTGTTTGCGTAGGCCCTGGTGTGGGACCAACAGTTGGCCCTGGGTTGGCCCTGTGTTGGTTCTGATGTTGGTCCCCTGGTAGGACCTGGTGTAGGACCTGCAGTGGGGCCTGGTGATGGTCCAGGAGTTGGTCCTGGAGTAACTGTTGTGGGGGCAGTTGTCGGGCCAGAGGTGGGACCTATGGTGGGCCCAGGGGTAGGACCAGGAGTGGGACCAGGTGTGCCACCAGATGTCGGTCCTGGTGTTGGTCCTTGGGTGGGGCCAATCGTTGGCCCAGGAGTTGGTTCAGAGGTTGGGCCTGCTGTTGGGCCTGGGGTTGGACCAGGAGTGGGGCCTGTGGTTGGACCTGGGGTTGGTCCAGCTGTAGGTCCTGGTGTTGGCTTTCCACTTGGTTCTGGTGTTGGCCCAAGAGTTGGTAGTGATGTGGTCCAGGCGTTGGCCAGCTGTGGGACCTGGTGTTGGTCCAGGAGTAGGGCCTGGTGTGTCTGTTTGCGTAGGCCCTGGTGTGGGACCAACAGTTGGGCCCTGAGTTGGCCCTGGTGTTGGCTCTGATGTTGGTCCCTGGGTAGGACCTTGTGTTGGCCCAGCTGTAGGACCTGGTGTTGGTCCAGGAGTAGGACCCGGTGTGGCTGTTTGCGTAGGCCCTGGTGTGGGACCAACAGTTGGGCCCTGGGTTGGCCCTGGTGTTGGTTCTGATGTTGGTCCCCTGGTAGGACCTGGTGTAGGACCTGCAGTGGGGCCTGGTGATGGTCCAGGAGTAGGACCTGGTGTTGGGCTACTTGTAGGACCCTTGGTTGGTGCTGATGTTGGTCCTGGCGAAGGACCAGGTGTTGGCCCTGGAGTGGGTCCCGGGGTATATGTCGTAGGGCCAGATGTTGGGCCCGGTGTAGGACCCATCGTGGGACCAGGAGTTGGCCCAGGAGTTGGCCCAGGTGTGCCATCAGATGTCGGGCCTGGTGTTGGGCCTTGAGTGGGACCAGTCGTTGGCCCAGGAGTTGGTTCAGAGGTTGGTCCGGAGGTGGGACCAGGGGTGGGTCCCTCAGTCGGATCTTGGGTAGGGCCAGGTGTGGGGCCCGACGTAGGACCTGGTGTTGGCTGTCCGCTGGGTGCAGGTGTTGGTCCGCCAGTCGGGCCTACCGTGGGCCCTGGGGTTGGCCCTGGTGTTGGGCCAGAAGTAGGTCCAATAGTTGGGCCTGTGGTAGGTCCGGGGGTGGGCGCCCAGGTGTGGGTCCTGGAGTTGGCCCTCCTGTGGGACCTGGGGTGGGTCCTGCGGTTGGCCCCGGTGTGGGACTTGAAGTTGGTCCCGGGGTGGGTCCAGGGTTGGAC